TGCTTTATGGTTAAATCCACTGTGCAATTTAATGAAACTGTTGTCAAATTCACTGTAATTCTCAATTTCCTTCTTTTAGATTTGCATTAGATTTAATGAGAAAAAAAGAGAGAAGTACGTGGGCTTTTATTAAATTATCACTTCTATTACTAGTTAAACATCCAATCGAAATCATTCTGAAGTCAGTGAAAATCTTTTAATTTATTTCAATAAGGCATAAATCAGATCACAGGAAAGTAGGCAGCCAGCTCAGAGCTGCTTTAGCCTGGTATCTGGAACTATAGTAATGGAATTTTGCTTTAAAAGATCCCTTATGTGGTCAACATATAAATGTAACACAGCGGTGTTTTCTTTATTATGTAATATTTACATTTCAGTCGCAAATGTAAAAAGTAAACTAGTGCCGTAGATGTCCAGCTGATAAGCCAGGATCTGTTAGGTGTAAAGCCTGTAGGTAAGTGTAAAAAAATTATTTTAGCTGGACAAAATGAACTTTGAAAAAAATGTGGTTTATGCCAACAGATCATGGCCTAAAACAGAGAGTGACACACTGTAACATTTAATTAAAATCCAATCTTTAGCAGCCACTAATCCTGGGCAATTTAATCAATTTCTTCTGGCAATGTGTAAACAAAAGGACTTTACCATCTCCATCTCAAGAATGTCATACATGATTTTATTATGAAAATGCAACATGCTAGAGGTAGACCACTTGAGTAGACTGTTTAAATGCCATAATTTTACAAATGCGAATCATCCATTGGACTCTATAAGATCACTTGCATCCTTAAAGTTAAGGCCTAATTAAGTGCTTTTGTGGACTGAGGCCTCTGTGAAAAAACAGTTTTTGTGTCTATACTTTGGTGAGATAGGGGCCCAATCAATTTTCTAAATCAAAACAAAATCTTGCATTTGGCAATAATAGGAGGGATTGTTGATTTCAGGGTTCACCCACCACTGAAATCTGAGCCTTTAAACTGAATTACACTAATACTTCTGGATCCTGTGCCTTTGTTTGAGAACAGTATTGCATTTTGGAGAAATTTAGGAAAAGGCTGGCCTTCCTTTGAATTAATAATTTATGGTCACGTTTTTTATAAATTAGAAAAGTTAAACAAGAGTCATTATAACAGTAATCACAGAGTTCTCTGCCAAGTTTCTTTCCCGTTCTCCTGCCTTTTACAAATCTTTTATTTTCTGATGTGCAAGAGATACATGGGAAACCAAAAGAAATATTTACTGCCAGCTACACACTGGTTGGAGGTCCTTCCTATTGTCAGCTGTAGCATGCCAGCTTTACTGATACACTGAAGGAACAGTCAAACTGACAGTACACAGCTTTCACTCTCATAAAATAAATTAGATTGGTACCTTAGCTGTAAACATGCTGGACGTTCCAATAAAAATAAAAAGCCTCAAGTTTTCTTTCCTAAACTTTTTCCACTCTATAGTCTTACATTTTATATATCATAGTATTTATCAATTGTTGTTTCTAGAAACAGATTACTGTGGCCTCCATGGCTTAACCAAGTAAAATATTTTTCTGTAGGATATTTTTACGTAGAGACAGAAATGCATGGATTTTAATACAAGATGACACAGTATTCTTCCTTTGCAAACTGATTTTTTTTTGTCTGTGATTATAGTGTATATGTAATTCTGAATTTTTATAAGTGTGCCAAATTATGATTTTGCCTGATGCACTCTATTTCTGACCCATTTTTATAGTATTTTACCATATGCAATCTCAAATACAGCATCTCTGAGTCTTTTAGCTGGAGACACACCTTTTTCTTTTGCTGTAATAGTCTGTAATTCCCTCTTTCCCTCACATTATCTTCATTCCCCACCCTTTCACACATGCATACACATCTGCTTGCTGGATAATCCCAGATTCCTGCAGCCCAACTTGCAGCTGCCTTAGCTGGTCTGTTTAGCCTCCTGAAGTATAGTCATGCTGTATCACTCATAATATCACTCACACTGTAATCCTGCCCTCCAAGTTCCAACAAAGTTCACCCCTGTACCAATTTTCTTTAGCTCCCTTTGCATAAGTGACACAAAGTGACACAAAATGCTCTTGGGGATGAAAATGAAGAGCTGCAGAGCTGCAAAGAGGGTGAGGGAGAAGGTGGAAGAAGTCACATGAAATTGTCCTGAGCCTTCTCCATCCCAACTTGGTGCATCTTGTAATTTCTCAAGGGAGCAACTTCCTGGTTTGAGAGCTGTTGCTTTGATACATTTACCCTTAAAGCACTCCTGTAACACTAAGAAGTCCTAACCCTAACCCCACTTTACCATCAAGGAAAAGAGACACAAGGGAGGAATGTCATGACTGCACGAACACTTCTTTCAGCTGCAGCGCCAGCTCCAGGAGCTCCAGATGATGGCCACAGTCACCTGGTCTGGACCTTGGGGGTGTTGATGCAAGGGTCTGCACAGATGCATGACGTGCCAGCAACCCAAGAGGGGAGAAAGAAAACTTGTTTTTATCCAGATCCTTGCACTGACTCACCCAACGGCCCAAACAGTAGTTCTGGCATAACAGGAAGGGGGAAGAGAAGGGGCAGAGCGCATGAGGCCGTTACCCACGTCTTTCTGTTTGACCAAAGAGGAGGTTTGGTGGCAGAAGGAGATAATAGGGTCTATTTAGCCAACGCTACTGCTGAAAGAAAATTATGTTGTAAGATTATAAACAGGTGGTCTTTTCCAAAACCCAGCTGAGCCAGTGAAAAAAAGTTACTCTCCCCATTTTTGGTCCGCATCACCCTGTCAAATATTAATGATCCTCACATCTGCTGATACAGTTGCTCCTACGTATATTCCCTAACCCTGTCCAGATTAAACAACCCATGTTCCTAGACTTACTATTTAAAATATCTACAATAACTGAGACCCATTTGCCTAAATAAGATTAGGATAAAATAAGCCAACAGATCTGAGGAGACAGTGGACTCCAGCTGAGGGACAATAAACAGCTAGCAGGTGGTAGTAACCTCTTCAATAAACACGATACTTTTGATGTACTGAGGGACTCCATCTATTTAGGCCCTAAATATTAGTCATGGTGATATAGAGACAGTTGCATGTCAGTAAAGACCATTTATCCATAGTTTATATGTCCAGCCTAGAGTAGTAAAAACTTCAGGGGGTGGAGTTTGCCATCTTTATTTCTTTATTAATTTCTTATTATATTCTTTCTGCATGCATCAATAGGATGGACACTTATGAAGCATATGCTGAACCATATGTACATTTCCAGAGTCCCAGGTTTGTATTAAAGCTGCTGATCCATCATCCTTGCTTATACAGTGGTTCAATAGAGCCTGTAAGCTGTGAAAGTGAGCTTGCAATTCTTTCAAGGGATCACAGGATGCAGCTGAAATGTCTGCGATCTGTAGATTCACTCTGAAGTTAGTTTGGATGAAATTGCTCCACACTTAAGCTGGAGAAGAGGCAGCCGTGGCTTTGTTCCCAGGGAGCCAGCAGAGGAGAAAGCTGTGCTCCTGAGGGGTTCAGCAGCTGTCGGTTACACGCGCAGTCCCCATGGACGCGCTGCTCCTGTCCTCAGCAAACAGGACGTCACCACCAACCGCCGCCTGGGTACCTCACTTTCACATCCTCTCTGCCACGACGTGTCTGATTGCCAAAGCCACAACCAAATCCTCATTATGAGGGCGAAGCATTTCTTTAGAAGAGCGTCCCTCACAGCTGGCCACCTGCTTCAAATAAGCTAAGAGCTCGACTAAGCTAAGAGGAGGGTTTTTTTAATATCCTGGATGTTTCAAGATATGCAGTTCTAAAAGATCTCAAAATGCTACTAGTTTAGGGTGTGATCTTAGAAATGCTTACTAATTCATGTAGTCCTTGCTCCTGTTAAGCCATGAAACTTAGTGACAGACTAGAGAATCTACCATGTGATGAGGACTGGATTGTTTGAAACATCTGTTTCTTCTTGCTTAAATATAAAAAGTAATGTTATTAAAATTAGAAAAAACATTTTATTAATCCAAAATATCATCTAGTTATTTAACAAGGACTTAACAATGTGAGTCATCTGCATTAACAAATCCAGATGCTATAGTCAGAGGCAGGAAAGACTCAGGGACTGACAATAGGCTTGCTTTTTATGACAATTATTTATTTCTGTTTGTTTTTCATTCCAAACAGACCGTCTCTAATATTTTAACTCACTTGGTGGATTTGAGAAAAATTGTAAGTGAAGAGAAAAATTCTGGGCTCTCTCTCTCTTAAAAAAATAATATACTAATACTATTAAGATTTTTCTAACCTATTCAGCAGACTTTGTAACAAAATTAAATGTGTGTATATCTTTTTGCCATGTTACAACTGATTTCTTTTCATACAGAGGATTGGACAAATATGGTTTTCACTTCACCACATTTAAATTTAAATTGCCATACCATTCTGTCCTGGGTGTAAACTTATTATGCATATGTTGAAGAAGAAAGGACCATATTTTGGGAATCCGTGGTGATTCTCACCAGCTAGAAATCAGGGACTCCACTCATTCTGGGAAAGGCCACATAATTTAAAATCATCACAGTCACCTTGTCTTTTATGCTCTTCATTGAAGGGCTGTGACAATTGAGAAGGTTTTCAACGTGCCTTGTGACAGAAAAATCAAAGTTCAGCAAGAGCAAAGTAAAGAGCAAAGTACTAAACACTTAGCTGATTTAATTTTAATACATATAATTTTTATACAGGGATCTTATTTGCACAGCTCAATGGAGTCGTGTATTTGAAGAGCATTGCTGATTAATTATGTTGGTTCAGTAAGAATGAATTAGGTGATCTCTATTTTATGTCTGTTTCGAAGTTCACTATTGTGAACTTCACCTCATTCAGTGCTCCATCCTGTTCAAAAGAATTGTTGCTAACTTTACTTGGGTAGGAAAGGGAATCATAAAAATCACTATGCAAGCCTCTTGAGCATGGTGGGTTCTGTTACAGTTGTATAAATGCAGCTCGTTACTCAGTTAAGGGGAACTGACTTTTTAGGTATGCTTTGAAAACCAAGGGATCATGATTCGGAAGGTGTGGAAACTGTGGGTTTTATGACCAGACCTGAACCCAAGTTCTCTGTTCCTGTCATGAAGTCTATACTAGCTTTAAAAGTAATCTGCCTCTTTTTCTAACTGTATTGTGTATTTTGCTCCTATTTTCTCTAAAGACTGCCGAAAGAACTGATTTAATTTATTTGGAATATTTATCTCAACCTGTCAGTAAAAACAAATTCACATTTCCCTTAGAAATACAACAAAAGTGAAACATACTAGACTTTCCTTTTTGCTTCTTTACTTCCAGTTCAGGAGTTCCTTTATTCAGTCTGATGTTAAATCTACTTGTATTAGAGAATCCTTTTTATCTGAGCAAATCTTATTCCTTAGCAATGAATCTCAGAACATTGTGGGGTGATTGTATAAAGCCATTGCTTTTTCTTTATTGCCCACTAAAGAAACATTTATGATTAAATGGGAAAGGGAACTATCTCATTCTCCTGAGCTGGAGATATTGGACTCAATAATGTCCTTCATACGTGTATGCTCTATTTCAGCTAACCTGTTAGAATTGCAATATAAAATTGTAAATCAATGGCATCAAGCACCTGTGAAGATGAGTAAGATTGCAAGTCATTTCTCAGATAGATTTGGAGAAACAGCTCCCAGCCAAGAACTCTTTTACATGTTCTACAGGGTCTGTCCTAAATTACCCCAATAAAGTCACTTGCTATACATCATATTGAGAAAATTCCCAGCTGTCTGATGTCAAGTACTCAGAAACACTATACATAGGGACACTTGGACTTTGAGGTATGTGACATACAACTGGATATTAATAAAAATTGAATTACAGTCTATTCAGCTGGTTATTTGCAGAGCTAAAAATTCAGAATCTTCTTCAATAATGAAAGTGGATCCTTAGGAATTTGTTAGAATCTGTTCTGTTTATCTGTAACTGCAGAAAATGCATTATTTCTATACAAGGTGTTCCTTTATTGATTACTTTTGTGCTGGCAGGAATAGTTAAACCCAGCTACTCAGAAACACTATATGGGCTAGAAAGAATGAAAGTAAGGATAATTTTGTTTGTTTTTCTTGTCTTTCTGTAATCACAATGGTATCTCTTTTTAAGCTTGTCATCTTCTGCTTGGCTGATTCTCTTGTAAGGGCTTTAATAACATGAATTTAATATGAAGTATACCTTTGTACCGACAAATATATATCAGTCAAAACCCTTACTTTCTGCATTTTGGAATAAATTTGCTAAGATTTATATATGTGCAACATTCCCAGACCTTACAAAAGCAGAGTTGTTAGTGCCCAGGCATGCTTTTTACCTCCACAGAGCTTGGAGATCAGTGCAATGTAAAACTTGGTGTGGCAGACAGAAAACATAAAATAAAAATACACACCACCAAGGTGATTTCAGCCCCACTCACAGAGCTGACAGTAGCCACTGAGCACACACTGTCACAAGGGTGTTCTCCCTCTCCCTGCAAAGGACACCAGAACGGGGGGAGGATATGTCTTAGTGTGTCAGCCTGGTGGTTTATGCTGCTCTGTGAGGAGACTGATGGCAGGTCTGCTGCTGGAAAAGGGATTAGAATGTTACCTGGAAGAATGCAAATAAAAGGAATCAAAGAATGATCAAAGAACGCATCACAGAGAGGAGAAAGTCCAAGGAGGGGCACCTGCACAGATGATGGAATCACAGAGGTCAAAATACTTCTCGGTGCTCTGGATTTAAAACTGTGAGGCAAAAGCTATAAACTAGAAAGAAAGATAGTGACTTCTTCACTTGGTGTCTTTGACTCAAAAATGGTTTCTAGAAGATGCTTGCTTATTTATGAGTCATGAGGCTTAATTACATAAAATTGCTTGACCTTTGTTATACCTCAGGTTATGTTACCTAAAGGTATCTTCTGACCTTAAATTTTATGAATCTGCATAAAGTAGCTGTAAGGGAAGAACAGCAGAATATGATGTTGTTTCACTGATTTGAATTGCAACATGCATTTGCATCTTCATTTGCATTTACTGTCTTAAGAGTAACTGTACTGACTGCAGTTGTGTGATGGAGTTGTCACTGTGAGTCGAAAAGGGGTGAACGTGTGTTCTGAATGACCAAGATCATATTTACAGGACTGATGTCTACCAGCATAGCTCTAAAGAGATGCCAGCCCTGACAGGCATAGCTGTGTCAACAGAAGCCTCTGGTAGAGACACAATTGTACCAGTAAAATGGTATTTTTACCAATAACATTTTATGGTAGTGCTGGAAGATGGTTTTATTCTACTAGCAGACAGTATCCATGCTAAACTGCTTGGGATTTTAGTATTCACCGAAAAACACTTCCCTCAGTGATTCCTAAACCAATCAGTTTTGTTGATGCTGCCAAAGAAACGGCATACAACTGGCCCTGGCAACCATCAGCTTTGTGCCACACATGACAGCATTTAATAAAGGGAGAGTGCAGAGAGAGTTTCAGGAGAAGTTCAGGCCAAATCTATTGGCCAAATAGTTATGTCAGGGAGGAGTGTGAAAAGATCAGGCTGAACAAAGTCGAAATAAACAACGACTAACAAAAAAAGTTCTTTCTCAAAAATAGTTTCTGTCATTTGAAGGAAAGGTTTAACAATACTGGCAAAAGTGATACTGGAATAAATTGCGCTGACCCTGTGGTTTTTGTAATTACAACTATACTGGAAAATTCTTTGTGGTGTAAACTAGCTCTCAGAAGAGACTCTAGAGGAAAGGGTGAAGGGTGATAACAGTTAGCACTTCATTCAGGAGCAGGGAATGAGGAGGGAACATCACTGTTTAGGTCTGTAAGTGTAGGCCAGATGCACCAGCCTGATCAGACTATGAGCAACTTTCAAGCCTTGCCCACCCATGAAAGGTGTGGGTGTTACTCTATTTTACTCTTTATTTATCTGTGCTCCCAGCCTCCATTTCCAGGGAGCTCCTAGGAGGTAGGTGTGCATGGCTTAAGGACCAGCCTGACATGTTCAGTCTCTACCGAGCTGGTGCTTAAAAGTGCAATTCCTTACCACTGTTCAAATCTAGGCGCTCTATAATTCAGGAGGGTATGACCACTAATCGACCTTTAGTCCACCTTAATAAAGTTGTGCAACATTCCATGCCCTTTTTTTCCCTTTTTATCCTAAATAAACTTATTGAAGCCTTTCAGTGCTCTGGGGCAGTTTTTTCTCTGTAACTAGTTCTGCAATTTCAGCTTAACGATGACTTTTCTGCTCAAAGGAAGTTTATAAAACTCACTGGTTGTATGTTAGAGCTTTCACTACATTTGCACCACTCACACCTGAGCCCTTCTCCTCACTGAGGAACAGAACTGGACCTCTGGGCATTCAGAAACAGTTTGAAGGTGATTGTTGGGAATGCGTTTTTAAGTAAGGTGAGTGTTTTAGGGAAGCAAATTTCCCTGGCTGCTCTGACTGCTTCTTCTCTCTCCCTCTTGAGCTGTTGTGCCATTTGTGCCTCATGGTGCTGTTCACAGTGTTCACCCACCTCAGGGATTTTCTCCTCATTTCCAGCACTGAAGCTCTGACTCTTCCTTCACTCATCCCACCCATCACCCCCGTTGTCTGTCCCCCACTGCAGCAGCTGCCAGTCTCACGTGTGTGCAGACATCCCACGCAGGGTTGTGTGGTGCTTTGTTTCACGCATCCTCTCGGGAAAAACTTGAAGGACTGGCAGTGAGGCAGGAAGGTGAGAGATCTGGGAGGGGTATAGGCACATCTCAAGGCAGGCACAGCTAGAGGCCAGGAGAAGCAAAGGACTGGAGAAAAGATTGCAATCTCTGCTCCAAGGTTGTGCCTTGTGCCTCAGAAAGGACGGTGCTGGCACACAGGAGGTCTGGAGAACACTGAAGTGGTCCATTCCTCTCCATGAGGTGTGCAAGCAGCCCAAGGAGACAAACACAGCTGGGAACACTAATCCACAGCTGGAGCCTGTGGATTAGTGAACTGCGCTCTGCAGTTACTGCGCGTTCTTGCTTGCCCTTTCCACGGAATTTGGGCTCACACAGGCAAGGGAGAAGGGCTCAGCTGCCAGTGGAGGTGGGAGCAGCGCAGATCCAAACTCGCTCCCGTGGAAGGGCTGGTGCGGAGCCTGCCGTGCCCGGGTGAGGGAACCCTGCAGCTCGGTGTGCCCAGCGCTGCCCTTCTGCTCCCAGCTCTGCACGGGAGATGCGGCTCAGCTTGGTTTGGTTCCGCCGGTGGAGACAGGAGCAGGGTGAGGCCTGACCGCTGCCCTGAGCCACACCGGACCAAACACCCAGCGGGAATCCCAGTGCGACTCAGGCAGGACCAAAACTTTGGCATTGTTGTGGTAGACAGGCGACTCCTTGGACAAGCGGCCTCCGGCTTGGAGTACAAGCACTGCGCTGAAGCGTTGGGGCGGCGATTGGTTTGGGGACACTCTCAAGGGTCGTCTTGGAGATGGAAACATGGCGAGAGTTGTTTGCTTTTCCTGGGACGGAGAGGGAGATTTATAAAGAAAACAAGCAAACAAAAAGCCACAATGGCTGAAACAGTGAATTCAAACATCACTTACACTCATGCCTTGCAAATTCGCTCCACAAAAATGTTATTTTAGCACAAAGATTTTGGCATTAGGAGCAACACAGATCCCCATTTGTCGCAATAGCACTTAATACGTGAACAAGTATTTATATGGGACCCCAAAGTGAGTGGGTAAATAAAGCGTGTATCTCTCAGTCGATTCAATCCGGCTCGGAGCAGCTAAGTTCCGGGCCCCGTTTCCGAGCCCCGCCAGGCCCGGGCCCTGCTCCGCCCGGCGCCACCTC